ACCAATAAAATTTTATGATATCACGGGATGATCTACAAAAATTGGCCAATCGGAATGAAAGCCCGCTATGCTCACCAATTATAAAAATTAATTTCACAACCATAACGAACTAATTTTGCTAGATTAATTTGCGATATTTATTTCGTAACTTTGCTTTAATTCATACTTATCCCTAGCGACACAGAAGGTTAAAGAAACCAATTTATTGGGTATCACATGACCATGGTAATACAACTGTAGGCGGGGGTGTTTCCGTACCCATTCCAATAATTTCTTGCAAAAAATCGGCATGATTTTGGGTTTTCATGTTTACTGTTTCTACACAGTCCATGACTACTCTCTATGTTTATGAAACTAATGAGAAGACAGTATATTTTGTTAATAAATGACGTATTGAGGCAATACATACCTTCAATATCCATACATTAGCCAAGACCCTAATAAGATCTTTAATTCTATCAATTTTAGCTGGTACCTCAAGAAGTTTTTCCCTTTTTAATATTGACACATACCCCTTAGGACTACTCAAATGTAGAACTTGGGCTTTGAGACCTATAAACAAATTAACACAGTTTATATTACCAAACAGTAGTAAAATTGTTAAAATACTCTATTTTATTTACCTAAGTGTAACATGCCAACAACCCGCAATTTCCTTACTCTTGCTTCTTCAAAATGGACTTTTTGACTAAGACATATAAATGTATCATGCATAACTTTTCCTATTTTATATCCATCAGAAAGTAATTTTGTTGCTTCAAATTTTTTGGCGACTTCCATTACTCCATACTCTACATTGTCAACGTACATTCGAAGTATACCGTCCATTCGGTATCCCATCTTTTTACGCTCCAATTTTTTGTGACGAGTACGTGCTCTCTTTCGATTCTTTCTCATGGACACAGCGTCACTTGACGATTCTTTTCTATTAAAAAGTTCCAATTTATAGAGCTAGCGTTTGTTAGAATTAAAAGCAATGAAACTGGGTAAATCCGGAAGCACCTAGATACAGTACCTGACGGTTTCCATTCCTATTACATTCCGAAGACCGTGATCAATAATTAGAGACCACACATTTATATCGAACCATGATTCGAGGTGTTGTTTTTGTAATGATTCATTTGGATCTTCAAAATCCGTAAGACTTTTTTAAAAAAATGAAGGGAGGAATTATATTAAACGAAAAAAATTAAATTGTGGCCTAAAAAGTAAATACATACAACTTTCTTATCACAAGTTCAGCCCACTCTGCATCATAGTGAGTTTCACGATTATAAAGCTCACCCTCATTTAGAAAAGACGTGGTTTTTAAAATCTGTCTTAGTTCGTCTTTTGTTTGAACCTTAAATTGAAAATATTAAATTAGAAATATTATTAAATTTATGAAAAAATTTTTTTTTAAGAGAAGCTTATTACAACTTTAACGCTCACATTTGAGAAGCGCATCATGGACTCTGCAAACGTCCTATCAACTTGTGGTAATTCTCTTACAGAATGACGAATCTCATTCCACTCTTCCACATTAAATAACGTTTCGGCTTCTCGATCATCCAAATCGATAATCCACGAATGGAGATACGTTTCGATAGGCAGTTGCCTACAGTGTTTAAAGATAATGTCCTCGACACACTTTCCATTTGATAGAACCCACTTTTTATCTTGTTTCATTTTTGCGTGGGATTCTTGAAATTCCTTGAGCTGGGATGATACTAACAAAGGTGGAGGACTTTGATCTTCTATATTGCTTGTATTACTGTATTATAAAATAATATGGGTTGTTGGCCTCAAATAAAAATCAAAGAAATTGCAATCAAAAAAATTATTAAAATACCTTAGTGTATAATCGGAATCATCATCCTCAGATGTCGGTACATAATCCAAATCTTCCTCGGCCTTCAAAAAAAAAAAAAAAAAAAAAAACTATATCAGTCTAAAAACATGATAATTAAAACAATTCGCTCTGAATCATCAAATTATGATATAGATCACTCCGTACTATTATGAGTATTCAGAGATTCTTGATCAACTTTGATTATTCATTGGACTATATTTTTGAGTAGATGCTCTACACTTAGCGCAAGTGTTGTCACGTAATACCATATAACGATTTACTACAATTCTTGTCCAAAGCTTCAAATTTATATTTTTATCTTAAATATTGAAATTTATTGAATATCGATATTTAAATTTAAGAAAATTTACCCCCGAATACTCATAATGGTACGGACTGACCCATATCTAATCCAAATTTTGTGTAAAACGCTAAACTCGAATTTAACCATATACGACATATTCGTTTAAAGTTTTCAGAAATTTCAGTGTTACATAGTCGATATATATTGTTTCTATTAGAGATGTCACCAGTGTTTGAAATTAGTTCCGTACCTTGTCCTTTTTGTTGTCTGCTTCATTGGAAGTGCCTCGTTCATCGCTTGTAATTTCCGATCTTCGTCGTCTCTTAATTGGGTTTGTAGATCTTTGTTCAGGAGAACTCTTAATAGAGTCGGTTGATCTTTGCTCAGAGGGACTTTGAAAGAAATTATTTATCTCATCGTTTAGATCCTACAGAAATACAATATAAGATCAGTATAATGAAATGGGATAAATTTAACCAAACGCTTACATTATACCGCTTGCGTAGCTCTAATTGTTGGCCGGAATATAATTGCTTTTCCTCTCTTACATGCGCATTTAATGAAGTTTGGTATTTGTACTGTATAAAACAATTCGTACAATTAGTTGAAGAAAAGGATCAGAAAGTTAATGTTTAAAGTATACGTAAGTACAAAAATAGTCAAATAGGATATATAAGATAAATAATAATGATGTTTAAAAGTATACACGAGTATAATAGAGTACATAAAATAGGTAATAATAACATAACTATAATATTGAACTTACTTCTTCGACTATTTCGTTTCGTGCCAATTCACTAAGCTTAGCCATTAGTTTTTTTCCCATTTTTATGTCAACCTCAAAAGTAATAACCGAATTAATAAAACAATATTATGTGTATCTTAACAATTAATATAGCAACGGAAACACAGGATGGAGCGTATTACACCCTGCTTAATAATGACACACGCCAAGGAAACCCAAGGTGGAGCGTATAGCACCCTGTGTATTGACCTGACTCAAAGCCAAGTTATGTGTCAAAACTTTCCTTTTCTACAAACAAAATTGATGACAACATGCCAAGGAAACCCAAGGTGGAGCGTGTAACACCCTGTGTATTGACCTGACTCAAAGCCAAGTTATGCTGTCAAAAATTTTGCTTTTCTTGCACGCAAAATTTACTGACCTTAAACGACTTTTTTAATGAAGCTACCTTCAAATTTTCTCTTGATAAAGGGTCGTGTTTTTGTTCGATCGCGTCTAGACACTTCTTGTACTGGTTGTTATAAGATCTTGCGAGATTAAATGAAAGTAACTTTTTGATAAAGGCGTAGTTAATAAAACCTGAATAAGACCAGCTATCAATAGTGTTTTCATAGAAGTAGCTTAAAAAATAAGCGTGTTTTTCGTTTTCGTCCTTAAATAAATAAATAAAATTCATTTTGCAGTTAACAAGATTTTGATTTGCAGTAAAAAAAATATGCATCCGACGCCCACAAAAAATTATTCACCCCTGTAATTTTGACCAATCGAATCTCAGAATCAGGTGTAACGTAAAATCGAAATGAAACCATTTTTTTACAAATAAACAAGAATAACTCTAAATTTTAATTAGGAAACCACCTTCTGCGGCCTAATTAAAAATGTTCCTCATGATGTTTTACTGATAAGTATTATATAGTTCTATCCTAACCCTAATTACTGAATTATAACACAGATTTCTTGGTTTCATTTTACGCGTAACTTTTTTACACGGTTGTTTTGACACCTGATCTTAAATTTTGATTGGCAAAAATTACTGGGGATGAACAATTTTTTGTGAAAACACTACCTAAAATTATACATGTGTGCCTAAATTATTTTTGAAAAAAAGTATTTTCGGCAAACATTTCGGCATTGCTAAATTCTTTATATTAAGCCCTCCGAAATAACTACACTATATGATGTATTCTAATGAAAAGAGTCCAAAAAATTTCGGCAATAATTTCGGCAAATATGAAAATTAATTTCGGCACTACATAAGACTAATTTAGGCTGCCTAAATGCTGTAATTGCTTTTTTATTAGGATAGGCAATTTAGGCACACATGTATACCTAAAATCATCGCATCTGATAAATGAGTGTCGACAAGGGAAAACCAGTAATTGTTAGTTTTCTGAAATTTCATTTTTCAGCAACGATTTATAAGAATCTGATATTGTCTGTTTCTAAAAGTGAAATCTCCGAAAATTAAGAATTACTGTTTTTACCTTGGCGGCACTCAAATTCTGAACGTGTTGTTACAAGCAGGGGACATTCGTTTCCGATGAATTCTGGGATCGACATTACACAAGTATTTATATAGGATAGTAGTATAAAACCCAGAATTTCAGGTATTAGTAAACTTAAAAAAACAATAAACTAACCGTATAATACTTTACTAATTAAATAATTTCCTAGTGAACGTTTTGATAAGAAAGTCAAGTTGAATCACGTTGAATCGCGCAATAAAAGGTAGATCTACTAAGAGTTGAAGTACGGTTAGACCTTTTTACAGTTACACCCTATATAGTCACATCTCTATATAAACACCTAATTTTATGAAATCAACTTAAAGAATAATAAAAAAAACCCATTATAGTCACAAATTGCTTATAATCACTATCATTATATAATTTAATTTTTTTATCAATTTTATTAATAATAAACCTCTTTATAGTCACTAATTTTTAACTAAATGCAGATTACTAAATTTAATTGGCTAAGATTTATATCCACATAGGGTTTGGGAGCATGGTGAACAAACCCAAATTTGGATGATCAACATTATGGCTTAGCCAATTTAATAAAAATTTTTTTAATTTTTTATACAGTTTAAAGTACTTCGTATTCTTATGATTTTTCAAAATTTATCAATTAAATCTGTTCTAAAAAGAAAGCTAGCAAAAGGCCTCTATATAATCCACCTTGTATTAAAATTAATCAAAAATAATCACAATATTCAAGAAGTTTTATTAGAGGTGAGTTTTATAAGA